TCTTCTATGAGATAAATAGAAGAACTTTTTAATAATTATCTAGGTTAGATAGGAGTATTTAGCTAAATTGACAATAACACTATATACACTATATTCACCAAGATATAAATCTCAAAATTGAACCAGATGTTCTTTATTAGATAATTGAAAAAAAGTTCATTTCGATATTTTGCAATTATTGGGGTAACTAGAGATAATCACCCTAACAGACAGTTAAGCGAAATAACTCGTTTTGACCAACATAGAAGTTTTAAACTTTAAACATATATCCCTTATCAAACTGCAAGAATAAATTAAAAACGTTTCTGTTAGATATTTGGATAATTAGTAAGTCAAAATTAAGAATTTTTATATCTGATCGGTGATCATTGGTATCATTTTAAATAGTGGTCACTTTTAAAAACATGCAACCCCTTTTTAAAAAGTTGAAAGTATCAAATGATTAAAATATCCGCTGATATTATTTATGTAAGTAATTAATTTTGAATAATTTCTCAAAGCGCAGAAACACTACAGGGTTCATCTCTAAAATGAAGAAGCAAGTGGTTTTATGTAACATACAACTATTTTACATATATGATGAAAAAAACTGTTTCAGTATTTAAAATTTTTTCAAATGTTTCTAGAAATATTAAGAGAATTTCTTTATTATTTTAGTTTAAATCGTGCGATTTTTTATACGTATTATAAAGTCTAGAAATATAAAAAAGATAATTGGTTTGCAAAAGCATAAATAAAAGTAAAAATATTTAAAAACAACAGGCTGGCAAAAGCATAGACATTTTTTTTATATCTCTAATGAGCTGTACAATCGGTCTTGCCGATGAGCAGACCTAGTGCGTTCTCCAGAGGTGGTATCCACTCTTTCAGGACCACCACAATGGGTGAGATACCGTTGGTCATGTTAATTTGGACGTCTAGTTTCTGCCACACTAGATGGCAGCACCGAGACTCTATTTGGATACTAAAGTGCACTAGAAATTTAATTTTGTCGGAAATGCCAAGAGCCAATGAGGCACTCCAGGGATCTTTTACATGCCGCATAATCATACGACATGGACGCTGAGGATTTTCTGCATCCCAAAAATCCGGTGTCTGGGCCGGGGATCGAACCCGCAGACTTGGGCTCAGAAGGCCGACGACAAACCAACTGCGCCACGCAGCCAGTCGAAGCATAAACATATAAGGAGATAAATTTAAAAAATAAAAGCAGACGGTAAAATTAGAACACAAAATAGTTGTTGATTTTGTAGAGATTAGTTTTTGTTTTTCGAAATTGAGGTTTGTACTAACCCGTTACGGGTTTTCTATATTGGTTTGAAAAGTTGTTACTTTCCCGTTACGGGAACTTTAATTCCATTACTGTAGTGGTTGCCGTAAATAAATATTTTTATGAAAAATACAGAACTTTTTTTTAATATAGTTTGATACGCTACAGTATCAATAAAGTTTAAGGATTTCTCAGGTTTGAGAAAATGGCAATAATTTACGAACGAAAATGTGTGTCACCGAGTATCCTGTTCCAGAAAATGTAGCAATTAGCTTGTAACTTGCATCTGATGCTTCAGTTATTATATGCAATAAAGGTATAAAATTTCGTGAACCAAGCTTAAATATTCATTAAAATTTGGACGATTTCATAAAAAAAAAACTATTCGCTTTTGCCTGACATTTTCTTATTGTAACTGTAAAAACATCCAATAAAATAGAACAAAATTTTAGGAACAATTTTTAATTAATGACAAGATTATCATTCTTAAATTTGAAAGAAATTCGAGAATAATTGCTTAAGATATAAACACTCTAAGCAGCCTTTATAATAACACTTAAAGTTAAGTTTCACTCCGCTCGTTTGTGGCAAACATATGAAATTTTTTTCTTCATATTTTTGTTGTCAATATCGTTTTTCGTGACTTATGACTAAAGTTCAATTTGAGTATCTTGAAAATGTAAAAAAGTTTTCACACTTTTCTGCGTAATTATTGTACTTCTTTTTTAAAAAAAACTTTTATTGATAAGTGGTATCCACAAATATTTTCTATTAAAAAATAAAATTTAATTAAATATGTCACTATCCTATATTATTTGATTGGGCAGAAAGATGTGATGGTATAAGGAAAGAAAACACATGAATTAATGCGAATTTTAATAGAAAGTTCTCCATACCGTTGGTGGCGTTTTTATTAAATATTGTTATATGAAATTTATGGAAAATATTCAGAGCTTCTTTTCAAAATTTATAGAAACTTATTGGAAAAATGGTACGAAATTTTATAAATTTTCTAGATATTCAAATAAGATTTTTTTCATTAGTTACCAAATTACCAAATAAAACTTAATTAGCAACACGTAATTTACTTAATTAGCAAAGAAAAATTCTGAATTTTTTTTTCCAAATGTTTTCTCCGCATGCGCACTATGGAATGTCTAATTCAAATGATAATTATCGCTCACAATTTTTAACGAATTCCTTTCAAATTTTAAAATGATATGTTGTTGACGTATGCCTGCTTAGGCAGAGGGGGTGCGATTGCTCTTGTTTTCCAGTGGCGCCATCTATGGCAAAGAATTCGGCTTCTGCCACACCATGCGTCACACCCATTTATAGGGCGGACCCATTCATACATCCATTCATTCATCCACAGATCGTAATTTTGACCTGAATCAGAGAACGATCGATCTCCAATCCAGTATCCCCAGATGTATTGGTTTGTTTTAAAGTGATATTTTCGTTATTATTTAAAAATTGCCTTAGAAATTTTGTATAATTTTCGGCAATTTTTTTAAATAAAAATGAGATCTCTATGATTATTTAAGCTAGGTTTACGAAAGCTTGCGTAAATAATTTAAAACTTGTTTTATATGAGAAAGCAACCGTTAATTTGTAAGAAAGTTTTCACATATCGCAAGAAATATTTCTATAATTTTTTTAAAAAAAAGAATGCAGAAGTCTGTAGTATTTTAGCGTAGAAGTTAGGATTAAACTGTAAAAGAAATACCCATATATGCCAAGAAATATTTATAGGAAGATTTGAAAGATGTTTTTAATCCAGATTAAATCTAAAGAATGTTGTTAATCCTGTTTTATTTTGAGCAGGCAAAATTCAAAGCATAATTTTTTACAATGTTAAATTTGTTTGAAATTTTTTTCTGAAGAGTGTGTGTCAATTTGTTAGAGAGAACCATGTATGTCAATAAACATTTCTAGTAATTTTTTAGAGAAAGCTTGTTTTTGTCGAAATTATGCTTTATTCAGAACATAATATCGTTAACATAAAGGAGGATTGAGCTTTTTTTTAAATAATTTTATGCAACATGGAAATTGCTTGAAACGTGTTTTATATTAAGAAGCAAACATCAATTTGTTGGAAAATAGCCATATTTTGATGGACATATATCATATTTATCGCTAACATAAGAGAATACAATTTGCAATTTTTTATAATTTTATGTTATGTGGAAATCACTTTTGTCTTTAAGTGAATTATTATTTACTTTTTAAGTGAGTGCCATACATGTTAAGAAACTTTGATGGGAAACTTTTTTAAAAAGCTTGTTTATTCCGAAATATGCTAAATGGAGAGCATATAAATCGTTAACATATGGCAGAATATTTTGTAATTTTTTTTTTTTATTAATTTCTGCAATGTTGTGGAAGTTAGTAGTTCATGCAAGTGAATGAATATGTGAAAACGAAAAGTGTTGAAATTATGTATGTGGACCAGCTGGCAGCAGCAGGAACGATTCGACATCTGTTTCGAAGAGCCCAATTTGCTTTTAAATGTGCTCAGAGCAATCTGTCCGAAACAATTTTCTCAGAGTAATGCTACTTAAGTGGAGCCATGAAGCAGTGAGTTCGTTTTTCTTTTCTGGTTAATAATAGAATTCAAGCAAGAGAAATAATAAAAACGTTGGCAAAACTAGATTACCTTAACTTTAATAACATCACATCAATTTTAGAACAGCTAAGAGGATACAAATAGAATTGTGCCGTAATTTGAAATATTAACTTTGTTGATCTTATTGAAATTCTAACATATTAACACAGCAGCTTTTTTGTTTTTGTTTGATTTGGCATTTACATACTTTTTTTGTTGTCTTGATTTAAAACATCAACAACTTATAATTAGTTAATTTCTTTAAATCGGCTTTAGTAAGCACCTGATCTATTTAAGATTATTGTTTTTTATAAACTTTTGTACGAATTATAATATTACGCAAATCAGAATCAAGTTTATCGCCTTTTTATCACTCTTGGACGCTAAATCTTATATCTTGTTTTATTTACGAATTTTCTGATATTTATCATTGAACAAGGTATAAAAAAATAAAGCAATTCTGCAACATGCTGTTATCTAGGTTACCGGGTCCATAACCTCATCGTTCTACCTAGCAAGGGGGGCATTGAAGTTAAGATTTCACAACTTCGAAATCAGCGGCATGATGATGATGATATCAATGTGTTAGTCATTGTACATCGATCACTTTTACTTGAAAGACAAGCTAGCCACCATCGATCTGAAGCTGGGGATCAAACCCAAGTACTTCACAATGGCAAATTAGTACCTTGAGCTGTTCCACTCAGCCATCGAGTCTTAGTAACATAATGTGGTGATTCGTATTGACATGATTCACAAGTCTCTCTGATATTTGTTATTGCTTATTGAATATAGTATAAAAACAAAGTAAAGTGATTCCGCAACACTCTCTAATGGGCAAGGGGTCATTGAGGTTACGACTCCATGATTTTGATATCAGTGATATGACGATGACGCACCAATCGAAAGACAAGCTAGTTTCCCTCGATCTGAAGCTGGGGATCAAACCCAAGTACTTCACATTGGCAAATCAGTATCTTGAGCTGTTGCCACTCCGTCATCACGTCTTATTAACATAGTGTGATGATTGACATGATTCACAAGCTTTTACCTTGTACGATAGCTATTTTTATGTATTTATACAAATGTTTTTAATTATAAATGCATAATGAATGGACTTACCGGTATTTGAACGTGGTCATGGCGGATGAATTCGCGGTCTCCTTGCACCAACTGTAATAAACAAAATAATCTCCTTTTTCTTTCAAATATAAAGAATGTATCGCACTTCAATTAAATATTGAAAAAAAATTGATAAAACAGTTCAGTTCAAGATTATTAGGAATTGAAAGAGCTTACATCAGTCACGCCATCGATTAGTTGTTCAACTTCTTTTAATTTTTGTATTCTTTGTTCCAGCAGCATTGCTTCTCTCTCCACTTTGTTAATTTTTACGGCCAAATCATGAACTTCTCTTTGTGCTTGTAACAGCAGTTTGTAATCTGGATGATCCATTGGTGTATGTTTAAGCAGTTCCTGTAACAAAGTAACCAAACCGATTTAGTGGTATAATTGACTAACCTTTGAACATATTGTGTACAATAGCAGCAAACAAAAAAAAATGAGTTGATTTTTTCAGAATAACCCACCTGGGCATCATAAAGGCACCTGAAGGGCAGATTTGTGGGCCAATCCTTCAGGGGCACCATATTAGATGGGCCAGCGTTGCTCCGACAGTAAGGACAGAGAGTACAGCGTAGGAAAGAACATCCATGCCTTGCCCGGAATTCGAACCCAGAACCTTTCTAATGCAAGTATAGTTCCCTAACCTCTACACAAGTCTGCCGAGGAATTATATTTAGAATAATTTTAAACAAATTACTGCACAAGCAAGTATAAACTTGTGAGATATAACCAGTTATCTTCCAAAACTCGATAACCTATGAATCTGTTGTACTGCATTGCTTATAACGTTTAAAAGTTTTTATTATGTAACCCAAAAAATATAATTCATTTAAATATGCAATTTATGCATTGTAATAAAAACTAATCAATTCTCAAAATTAAGGAAATGAAACACAATGATGACAGAATCGTCAAAGTTAAAGTTTTATTTCTGAGAGTATACAGATAACATAATGTGCATTTTTTTATCAGAGAAACGCCGAGTTCAAGATCTAGAAATAAATTATTTAGGTTTAATAAGCTATAATTTTGTCATCAGTACAACATATTTGGTGTAAAATTATATTCATATTATTTTTTCGCAATACTCTTTCTTTCTTTAAATATTGTAATATACAATTTAAGACTCTTGAAATGACTTTTTATAATGTATATGAAAAACACACCTTTATTAACAGCTCGTAGCGTGGTATCCTCTGTACAGGCATTATCAATAAAGCATCGAGCGTCAGTTTACCTTTGTGTTCTCTTGATGTATTCTGAAAAAAAAAATTATAAATCTTAAAAAAAACCTTGAAAGAGAATGTATTTATTTTTATATATTAATTCAAAGCTAATTAATAAAAATTATGTGCTGTCATCCTGTGTTACTTAAGCTAACGGTTCCTAATTTTTTTGGCTATGGAACCTTACATGATTCCTCTTCGATTGGCAAAATTTAACTTAATAAATTAAGTCTTTTTAGCAATTGTGAATATTTCATGCAGATGTTCTACTGACTATTTTCAATAGACTATTAATTATTTTAAAACATTTAGCCTGAAAAATAATATTTTCATCTCTTTATAGTTTCAAAATCAGATATTACGTCAGACAATTGAATTCGCAGAGCTGGAACGGCATCAAGTCGAGTTCTGAATTATTTTTTTACGTGTATGCTTAAGTTGAAAAGAAATTTTAAGCAGCTATGATTTTTGTTGAAATGAAAGCTAAAAAAAACTGTTATAAACGTTGAGAATAGTTATTGCAAAACATGTTTCTTTATTGATGAATTTAATTATTTTATTTTGAATTGAGAAGTTCAATGGGCAACACTAATGGAATTTCTTATAATTGGATATCTTTTTCATAATTTTTTCAATGCTTATTAGAATAACTAGGTGTAACATTTTGCTATTTTTTCCGCACACACTTTACTTAAATAATTTATTAAAAACATTCAAAATATTATCTTTGTAAATGATTCGAAATAAATACAGGCTTCATAAAACATAACTGGTTAAAATAGTTCCAAACTTTAAGAGACCTTGTGACCTTTCCGTAGGAACCTAGGGCATCTTAGAACACCTTTTGGGAACCACTGACTTAAGCCATCATGTTAGCCTAACCAAATTATTTGGTAAATTTCGGAAGTTCATTGACTTAATAAAGTTTTAGGTTAAATATTATCTGTGCTGTTAAATTAATTTTATAAATATACGTAAAAAAGATTACGCTTATAAAGATGGAATTGAAGCTTATAAAGGACGCTGGATTTTTCCATGCCATAAGGGAAGTTTTGGTAATATGTTTTCTGCTCTTTGAAATTAAATTAAGTTAGTGACTTGATGCTAAAAGTAATGACTATTATAAAGGAAAAATTGATAGTTATTAAAGTGGCTGTGTTAAGTAACACAGTTTTGAGTTTAATTGCTAATTTTCGCGCTATAAATACTTCGTTTCAGTGAAGTTTTGGAATACATATTTTAATACTGTAAAGGAAGACGAAAGTTAAAAAAACTTTCTTTTCACATTTAAGAATTTTCCATTATAAATTTCATAATTTAAATTGCCAAATTCGTAGTATTACGTTGAAGAACATTTTAATCACAATTTTAAGGTATCCTTCTAAGATTGGTTATATATTCTTTGGAAATATTTCCACTTTTTTTTATCCTTCATTCATAATTGCTTTATAAACGGAGATGCAAAAACCCCCAAATTGTTTCCTCAAAATTAGCCTATGTATGTATCAGGGTCGAATAAAATGAAACCTTTAAAAACATGAATTCTTTTTGATTTCAAAAAAAAAAAAAAAAAAAAAAAAAAAAAAAAAAAAAAAAAAAAAAAAAAAAAAAAAAAAAAAAAAAAAAAAAAAAAAA